AAATTGGGAACATGTATGTCAGTAAAAATTTAACACTTTACAATATCTCATGTCATACTCATATTTCATAATATTTTTATTTTTTTATTCTCAGAATATGGAAGTGTATCATCAGTTGGTGGCAGTATTGAAAGGTTTCTGTAAATCTAAAGATGTGTGTGATTCTATTCAGTTTAATGCCGCGATATGTCTGGGATGTCTCGGTGTTAAACACTCTCTAGCCAAATCCAAACTCATGGACAGTCTACAGACGCATGACTCGTGTATTAAAGCCAAGGTATTATTGTCTTAATTTATGTCATCAGTCAATGCTTTCTTGTTTCCATTGTACAGATTGAGCAGTTTTGAAATAATTAGCTTCACTGTCATCATAGATTGTCCATCGTTGTCTGTCCATCTGTCCGCTCCTCCATCTGTTGTCTGTCAACATTTCTATCTTTGGCTTTTTTTTTTAAAAACTGTCTGCTCATTTGCTTTGTTACATAGCATGTAAACACCATTGCTAGTCTAAGACTTCTGTCAGATTTGTTCATTTTATAACAATATCTTCAAATTTTCTATTTTTAGCAAATATTTTTATCATTTTTGGTAAAAAAAATGATTATATCAACTTCTTCTCGAAAACTATTGGCTCAATTGCCTTGATACTTGGTAATGTAGTACGATGGGTGGACCTCTCAAATTTGTTCATTTTCATGGTGACATTTTTTTGTATTATTATAATAAAAAATTACAAATGTGCTAAAAAGCAATGGGTCTGGTTTGTTATAAAAAAAAATATTTTGCATGGCTGCTCTACCATCATAACGGTACATCTGGCTGAGTAAGGTCTATCCTATGAACTGAAAAATCATCTTGATCTACCAAATTATTCTTTCTATTGGTTTATTTCAGTCTCTGGAAATCCTAATTAGACAGATGCATGTGTGTGATCAACAGATAATTAAAGCTGTATTAGAACAATTAAAATCATCCAGTACATGGAAGCATAGAGCGGCTGCAGCCAGACTACTTATTTACATAGGTAAGACACTTTTATCTCTAAAAATGCTCCCTAAGTTCCTGCAATTTATCTCCAGAAAACCTTGTGTATAGTATGTTAACAGCAGAAAAGAAAAATATTTTCAGAATGCTCTAAAACACTTTAAGTCCATAATTTAGGTAAAGACAGTTTTAACTGCATTGATTATTTTCTGCAGTTTTACATCCTCAAAAATCTTTTTGTTCAATCAATTTAGCTATTTGCAACTGCTAAATATTTTTTTTATTTGTAACATTTGTCTGTTCAGTGAATATAATTATTATAAAGTGGTCTTACTGGTTATTATTGTAAATGTAGTGTAATGCACATGTATGCATTTAATACTAGTCACAGGGTTTATGGTTTAGCTAAAGGATGGCAGTTATGTTTTTTTATATATTTACCTCTCAACAACTGACTACATGTACCCATAATGCTTCTCTTCTTTTGATCTGTTATTTGCAAGTAGGTGTGCAGCATAAGAATCAGGCTGTGACATAATAATATTACCACATTGTGGTAGAGAGACTGTATTATGGCTGTATACAATTTGTCTGTGCCATATATGAAGCATTCAACTGCTTGGTTGTACAGTATGATAGAATAGGATGACCTCACCTGTAAGATAAAATTAATTCTCAGATGTACAGCTGATTTTTTTTTGTCGTTACTACAATCACTGCATGTTTGTCTCGTTTTGGTTTCTAGGACCACATTATGTTTGCGACCCTGACCATGTGGAGGAAGTCTTTGAAATATTAGAGCATAGACTGTGGGATGACTCCAGTAAGGTACGTGTCACTTGAAGACTTGAAGTGTTATCGTTTCAAAGTCATATTTCATAATTCATATTTCACCATTCACTGTCGGCAACTGAGTATCTTCATTTTTTCTTACAGCAAGTCCAGAAAGAAATAGCCAATTGTTTAATAAGTCTGGGTATGCGAGACTGGATATGGCAAGTCGTAGAAAAGTAAGTTATCAAAGTCACTCGCCATAAAACTCTGAAATATATTCACATAAGTGGTGTTAATATGAGTTGATACAACAAACTAACAATATTTATAATTGTGTTTAATAATAGAAAACTTGAAGATGATAATGACGATATAAGGGCGCAGGGAGCAATAGCTGTGGTAGGTCATCTGTGCTATACCTAGTTCAAATGTTGTCACTTTCGTTCATATATTTGACTGCTCAAGCCACTCACACCTCATTGATTGAAAATTTTCCTCTTTCAAATCGAGATGGAAATGTAAATTCGATGCTTCATAAATATTAAATGGTTGCCATTTCTGTTTGCAGGGTGTACTTGACATGAAGAGTGACAAAGTAATACGTACCTTATTGGAAATGTTAGAATTAGATTCCAGTGAATTCGTCAGACTCAATATCATTCGTACCTTTGCAATACTTGGTATTACTGAGATCAAAATAATGCGAAGTTTGAGAGAACGTGAACGAACTGAAGGACCACTAGCAAGGTGAGTTTTGTAGTCATGGCTGCAACCAAAGTGTATATAATACTATGTGCATAGTTTGATTTGTTTGGAGTTGATCATTAATTTTTGGAGAAGTGGACTACTAGAGAATAAAATAGTCAAAGATGTTAACAAGATTGTAAATTACAGTACACATAATTCATCCACATTGAGGTGTTGATGTTTGCATGAATGAATTAACAAGAAATTTAATATCGATTGAAAAACCTTGACCAAACCTGCATTAAAACCAGTAAATCATTGGAATGTCAATCATACATGTATTGACACATGTCACAAATGTATTGATTGTAGTTAATTAAGTTTGTTCCTAAGTTATTTATTTATTTTTGTAATCTTTCAGGGAGGCCGGTAAAACATTGAAAACTTTGACCGAGATCCGTGCTCACCAAACACCGAGAACTCCACCAAGAAGTCCCACAAAGAGTCCATCACCGAACCTGATGAGAAGCATGCTAGGGATATAGCGACAGTTTTCCACTCAAGACTTGATTGATCATTTTCACGATGATTTGATTGATAAGTGATCCTGTATACCACAGAGAGGTTAAACAGTAATCTCAGAGACTAATTATACTGACCAAGCATATTGAATGCCAAGGCCATCTTTTTACAGTGGCAAAGTACCAACTACAGTTTTCAGCTCTTCAGATTTCAGACCCTGTTGTGTTTCATTGTCCTGCCATGTTGACTGTGTAGTGTACATATCTTTTGTGCAGAATAGAGGTTGCATGACTCCTTACCCTTTTCACCACAAGACTTTCTTGCCCTCAATTTTGTGCACTTTTTATTATATTCTTCAATATTTCTGGAAATAAATCCTACTTTTGGAGCCAGACCAAATTTGAGTCAATTTTTCAGTTTTTACTCAAAAAAATTGGCTATTTTTGTCCCAATCTTCTGAAGGAAAGTGCAGACTATAAACTGGACCATTTTGTGAATTTGTGATAAAAATAGGGTACTGGTGGTGAAAATGTTATAGACTTTCACATGAACCTTGTGACAGAAACACAGTGACATTATTTCCATAACCAGCCGTGTGTATAATAATTAAATTAAAAAACAACTGCTGAAAGAAAATTAATACAGAGATTTTAGCACGGCTTTACTAGATCATTCCACAATTTGGATTAAACACAATGTTGGGAGGTTAGTATATTTATAAGACTATAATGTATACCGGTACTAAGGAATCCTTATTATCACCGATGTATTGGTATTTATTATTATACCGTCCATGTCAATTCATAATAACCGTTTTCATCTTAATAAGTTATGGAAAAATACATTATCAAAACTTTTTCTGAATTTCTTGAAACCCTGGCTTTCTAAATAATATTTTAACATAAATTGTATATTTTGGGAAACTGCATTAAAAGTCCAAATCGTAAAAAATACTTGCTGTAAAAATTTGATGTTTTACGGTGTGGTGAATGCTTTATTTATAACAATAAATTATTTATGTATCCATCCGGCCAAGTACTTGGATGTAACTGATTCTTCCATTGTCACATGAACATTCCAATTTGATGGATTTGTGAGGATGTAATTATATAAACAATGCTGAAAATGTCATTTTGGTTTGTTGCATGTACTGTGAAATACTTTATTTTAGCTGGAATTAATTTTGGCTGAATAGACTTTTTGGGTGTTTTGTATGGAATTTATTCTCACTGATTTTTGACAAGTTGAATGTCAAATATGGAACAACTGTATATTCACTGGATTTTATTTTTCACTGAATCACTCCTTCAGCAAAAATTGCGAAAATTAATTCCAAGTGAAAATAATGTATTCTTCAGTAATTTTGACCAATTCCTGATGTGACATAAAAAATATGTACTTCAATTATTTAATTTTTGGCATTTTGATTTATAAGTATTGCAAAAATATACAAAGGGAAAAAGCATTTTTATTATTTTTTTTTTTTTTTATTTTTTTTTTTTTTTATTGATACAGTGAAGTAATGATAGGTTTCTAGTAAAAACATGATGCATATTTGATAATATTTGTATTAACCGGCTTTACGAACAAATCATGTGATAGTAAAGTTCATATTATTACAATTTCGATGAAAAAATTATTTACAGGTGAAAGTTATATTTGGCACTAATGTCTCCTCCAATTATGATACTTATTCAATTTAGTGTGAAATTTGTTTGAATATTGAAGATGAATTTAAAACACTTAGTTGTACTGTTACATGTGTGTCTTTTCAAAGCTTACCATTACAACATTACTTAATTATGTATATATTTGTATATAGAAAACTTTGCATCTTCTACTTAAGTATATTATGATATATTTTTTTTGTTTGTCTTAGATGTCAATAAATATACACTATAGTGAATCCTGGTTGTAATGTATCAATAGTGTAATCTTGAGAGGAGAGTCCATTTCACTTTGTCTATTTTTTTTAAATCAAGGTCGATGAGAGCTATGTATATTTCTTCCTGTTTTGAAGAGATTAATGTGTTCCGGAGAGCCATTTGTAGCTGCCCAGCCTTTATCAAAAGACAAACCTTTGTTAAAGCGCGGTGGTCGTCGCGCTGCGCATGTTCGACATTTGTGTTAATAAACATTGATTTTCCCACAATCCAATGCACTCTTCAAATGGAAGTCACAAGTATAAGGTTTGACCTGGGTGCGACTTACACTGATTACTCCTTCAATACCTTCCAATCACATGAAAATTACCTAATTAAAGCTTGGAAACGTGTCAGTTCGTACTTGTTGATCTGCACAACAGTCAAAGTCGCCATCTTTGTTTATATGAGACCCATATATCTCATACATGCGCAGCGTGACGACTACCGCGCTTTAAAATATACTGGTAGTTCCTAACATGTTGATAGTTAGTGTGTTTGTGTCTGAAGAAGATGATTCACAGAAAGTTTGAGTGTGCTATCTTTTTAGTTTTTCCCATCTTTCTTATTGTCGGGGAAAATGTGGCCTTGCCGTTGCACTATAAATGTACAATGGTGCATTGCAATTGTGATGGTGAATGATCTTGATTGACCCTTGCTGGGGACTTGATCCCACGACCATAATATAACTTGTAGTTTCAAATCGTATCTTGCACCTCTTCAACTGCAGGTTAAGAGATTTGGTCGAGTACAGGACAACCGTTTAAACACTTTCGTCAGTCTTCACAGGACAGGATGTTATCTTCACCAAAAAAAAAATGCCAAATGTTTATGAAAAAGGTTATTCTGTATCCAATTTTTTTTTTTTTTTTGCAAGATTACATTAACCGGTTGTAATCCTTTAAAGCAAGGAGTTGTCATGCGTCAGATGGCCATAGCATGTTATTGTTTACAAACAAGCCTCTGTATAAGAGCCTTTGCGTTTTTAGCGTGTGTTGTTATCGTCGCTTGGGACGCAATTCCCGCGCGTGCGCAGGTGACGACCCTCCCGCTTTAAAGCGCAGACGAACGCTCGTAATAATTATGTTGGTCGCTTAATGAGTTGGTGCATTTTTATGTATAAACCATGCATTCTATGGTCTGAATGAACATCATACAACCTTTGAACTCAGTCAATTATAAAAGAGGGTTAATTTAGGTATTTTAAATGTCATAGAAATCCTGTTATTTTTTTTCTATGCACATAAATGTCATAAACAGTCGCCACGATTTATTTTGTATCTATAGACGTGTATATTCTGTTTCTTTTCTGTACGAGGTTTTACTGGTGAAACCAGAATATTCATACATATTCATATTTTTGTTGTATAGATCAACGTAGAGGGCGCTAGCTCGAAAGACCCGCGCTGTACACCACTTGTAAAAGACCACTTAGCGTCTATGGTCTAACTCTCCGGATATCGCGTTACTCGGGATCGCAGTAAACGAACAGAACAACCGAAGGCAGAGCTCCAGAAGGAGTACCTACACTTTATGCAATTTTTTTTTTTAATTATGCTAATTTATTCATGACGTAGCAGTTTCTGTGCTCATGAATATTCATTAATTTGTGGGTCAATACATTTTAAAAGGGGCGATATATTATTTTTGGGGGAAGAGTTAGAAAGGGGGATTAGCAATCCTTAGGGGGTCAATACAAAAGAAGGGACCCATTTGGAGAGCAGCCATGCTCCTCGTGTCTGTTGTTGCACGTGACCTACAGCTGTCAACTGTGTTCGTTATTCGACTATGTTCGTTCTTCGACGACTTCCATGTGGGGTAGTATTCTTGTGTTCTGTTTTTCTGACTTGAGTTTTTGAATCCGGTGTTTATGATTTTAACGTCTTTCATGTCATTTGTAGGAGTGTCCAATCCGTGATTCGAACTTGCCATCTCTGAGTTCCCAGCGCACTGTCTTGTCCACTGTACCACGAGTGTCTTCACACAGGAGTTAGGATTTAAGTCCTATTCATAGGAGCACTGTCTTCACTAGCATTCAAAAATCTAATTAAACATACTGGATTCGAACCAGCGATCGCTCACATTGCTGACATAGTACAAATCACTGAGCTATGTGGGTAGTC